AATTTAACTTGAATACACAAAATTATTTCCAAATTGTTTAAGAAAATCGGTTTTTATTTATATTACATTAAAAACATATATATATAATATTTTCATATATTTTTTAGATTTAATATCTCAGAGAAATGATTTAGTAACATGAATTCCTGCTTGACAAGAAAGTTTCTTTAAGTTAATAATATCATTCATATTTTCATGTCTGAATTATTCATAAAAAAAATTGTGTAAAACCAAAGTATATTGATTTTAGATTTGCTACTTCATCATAATGTTTGGTAAAAAAAAAATAATAATAATAATAATGAGGAGGAATAGAACAACCTTGTATAAGTTGTCTTTTCTTTAGAGACACGTGCCCATCGCAAATCCCAACTAATTAAGCTAGACAAACTGCGACTGTCAGCAACAGTGTTTCAAAGCCCATAAAATGTTCTCATTTGACTGGCAACAACAAAATAAACAAACAAACAAACAGAAATGAAAAGGCAAAGTAAACACATTTGCAGGCAAATGACTTTTGCAATAAATGGAAAACTAAAGCAAGCATAAAAATATTCTTAAAAGACTGCGATGTGATCCACTGCCAGCTTTTCGCGGCTTGTTATCATCAATCATGTCAAATTATGACCACATATTCCACAGAATGCAAAAGTGCATACCAATTTGGATTTTACAAAGCTGACCTCAATGTCCTTGACCATCGCCATGTATCGCACCAGATGGATGTGCAAATTTGTCATGGCTATTGACAGTGAGTGATGACGTGCTAGGAGGTGCAAATTGTTTTGCAGATTTTGACAGGCCTCACTTAGATAGAAAGAGTTTAATGTAATTTAATAAACTTATTGCAGTCTGGATTTGATTTAATATGGGGTTAAAGCTTATAGAGTTTCGTAAGATAATAGAAATAGTTTGATATACCTAATAAAACTCGTTGTTGTTTCAATGAAAGCGTTTCTGAAGAGAAACTCAACTCGTTGCAGACTGAATTTAGCCAAAGCCGAAAGAGTTTTGCTTCAAAGTGTCCGCTGGATAAAGCTATTATTTATTTTGATTTATCTTGAAAGGTGGCAAAAACATTTTAATGAATTTATAAACAATCGAAATGTCTGAAAGCCAAATACATTATAGAAGCCAGCACAACACCTACTTGGCAAATAAATATCTGCTGTATACATAGCTGACTTATGTACACGGCATATACACACATATGAATTCATGCATGACTGTAATTATGAGGCTAACAATTAATTTTCAAGTTCACTTGCGTGGGTAATGCCGAGAGCTGTACCAAGACCCACCAGGGCATATACATACATAGTACATATGAAAATACTGATATTCACAGAGAGAGAGACCGAGATAGAGCGAGGGAGCGAGAGAATGGTAGATGGAAGTGTATATATATATGATTCGAGAGTCGTAAACATACAGTTATACATATTTGTATGTGTATGCATATTTATTTTTATCATTGGGTAAATGTATTTGAAAATTTTTGCGCGTTGAAGGTGGCTGCTATATGTTAAGGTTAAATATACATAGCATAGAGGCTATAGAGGCTATACGGTATCGAAAGCTTTTCAGTTTCGTTTAAATTTATATATTTTTGTGCTCTCCACACAAACGAGAAATATTCTGGTTAACTTAACATAA